TCACACATTGGCCTCAGCCCATTGATCCCTCTCCAGATCCCTCTATAGGGTCACACCACTGCTCTCACCCTCTCCAGATCCCTCTGTAGGGTCTCAGCCCATCGATCCCACTTCTCCAGATCACCTCTTCTTTTAAATTTACTTTTCCACTCCTTTGCCTGCAGCTGTTTGGTTCTGAGGTGCATTTGCTTCTTTTCTCCTTCCCTTGGAGGAGGTTGGAGTGCGTTCTACGCAAAAAAAAAAAAGAAAAATCTGCTCTTTTCAGAGCTTCAGAGGAAGCTGAGAGCACAGCTAACGCTGTCCCCCAGTATTCTCCCATTCCTGACCCCCAAAAAAGAAGCCAGAAATTCAGTGGAAGGAAAATTTCTCACCCTGTGCCGCACTGTATTAACGAATTGGGGGTGGGGGGGAGATGGCTGAAGCTGGAGGGAATCAAAGAGCACTTTGTGCTGCTTTCCCCTGAGCCCCCTCCCCTACCCTGAGGTCTGGACGGGGGGCTTTGCCATCTCCTCTTCAATATTTCACCCAGCCACCCTGAATTCTGCAGCTCAGCGTTAAGCAAACAGCCCTCCCTTAAGCTGGGACCGCTTCATTTTGACTAAACCCTAACCAAATAAGCTGGGTGCAAGAAGCATCCCCCCCCCCTTTCCTTTCTTCACCCCCCCCCCCAGCTTATTCCTCGCTTCATTAACACCTTTTAATCCCATCGATGCCATCCAAATTGCCTTTCCCTGGGTCAGGGTCTCCTGCGCTGCAACCCGGACGATCAGCACAGGGTGGGGGGGGAGAAGGAGGGAGGCCAGAATCTGCCCCATGCAGGCCAGCAAAGATCAGAAAAGAGGTGAAAAAGACCCCGAGCACCAAGCCGTCGGTGTCAGAAAATAGAAAGGGAAAGGTTGGTTTTTTGGGGGGTATTTTTTTTTCAGGTTTGCTTTCTGGCTGCGTCGTCCCCACGCTGCTCTTTGCAGTCCCCCAAAGATATCCCCACTCTGCACCTGTATGCGCTTTCCTTCTGGCACTTCTTTTTTCCCATCCAGGAGAGCAAGCAAACCCAATTCTGTAACGTGCAGAAGGGATTCCTTGGGGGTGATGATGTGTCTGTGGATGGCTCCCGAGCATCCTCCGAGATAAAAGTTGAGAGCTCCCAAAGGGAAACCTTAATAACGAGGAAATAACGGTGGTCAGGGGGGTGGGAGTGGGGAGACCCGCTCAAAAAGTGCGACTTTAGGAGTAAAAAAAAGTAAAAATGAAACAAAAAGGAGGTGATTGGACCCCCCCAGAATGATGTGATGCGGTCTCCTTTCTGTCAGCGCATCCCAGCTCCTAAATTTACTTTTTTTTCCTTTTTTTTCCCCTATAAAACGGGGAATCTGCCCCATTTTTGGACCGTCCATCCCTCCTAGCAGCACTCCCAGCCCGTTCAGAACCCACCGCCGCCGACGGAGATGTGTTTTGTTCCTATGGCAACCCAAACAATATTACCTCGACTTAAACGGATTCAGGCAATATTAAAACCGACCTCTTTAGGAATTCCCGGTGTTGGAGGGGGCCGAGAATTTTAATTTCGCGTAATGCGAGCTGACACCGTGTTTATGAGCTGCTTGCTGGGTGTTTTCTTCAATTAGCACAAAGCAGAGAGGATTTGCTTTCGGGGCTTCGCGGGGAGACAGAGAGCCCAACCACCATTGAGTTAGCGCTTCTCACACCGGATAGTGGCAAAAAAAACCCAACAAAAAAACACCCAAAACACAACTCTTCTTCGTGGAAATTTGGCACATGACGCTGTCTTCCCATGAGGGTTAATGCTAAGTGTTCCCCCAAGAGCAGAGGGAGGAACGGGGCCGTTGCTTTGGAGGTAATGTCTGGTTTTCTGCTCCAGACCTTTCCCCATGGCCGTGTTTTCCTCTCTCTGTCGTTTCTTGACGTTTTGGCTGAGGTTGGAAAATGTTTTTGTGTCTATCATGGAGCTCTCTGTCACCGCCTTGCCCAGCTCTCCTTGCTTGGAGGTTGGTCAATGCGTTGAAGGTCATGCTCACCCTTCTGTTCCGAACGCTCCTCTCTCTGGATTTGAGGTTGAATCTGGGCAAATTCCAGTGGAAAAGTTGTAAAAACACAGTTTGACCAGCATGGGGTCAAAGTCAGACTGCGTTCGTCGACAGATTCAGCTGCATATGGAGACGCAAGGCTGAGTTTGCTTTGGGGACAGCAATGCTCCCAGATAAGATGGTCCTTCAGGGTCATAGAACCATGGAAGGGGTTGGGTTGGATCGTTGATCCAGCTGACCATTGAAGCATAGAATAGGTTGGAAGGGTCCTCGAGGATCATAGAACTGTATAAGGGGTTCGGTTGTAAGAGTCCCCAAAGATCATAGGAGCATGAAGTGGGTTGGAAAGGTCCTTAAAGATGATAGAACTATGTAACGGGTTGGGTTGGAAGGGTCCTTAAGATCATAGAAGCATAGAATGGTTTGGAAAGGTCCTTAAAGATGATAGAGCCATCAAATGAGGACACGATGGCTTCATGGTGATAAGGGGAAAGTGGCTCTGGTGCTGCACTTGAGGAGAATGGGGCAACTCAGAGGGAGTCCTGGGATGCACTGGGACCAAATGCTCAAAACTGGCACCAGAAAGGGACTGGAATCACAGAATCAATCACAGAATCACAGAAAGGGGTTGGAAGGGACCGTAGAGATCATGGAATTACAGAACCATGGGATGAGTTGGGTTGGAACAGACCTTCAAGATCATAGAACTGTGGAATGGGTTGGGGTGGAAGGGTCCTGAAAGATCATAGAAGCACAGAGTGATTGGGGTTGGAAAGGTCCTGAAAGATCATGGAAGCACAGAGTGATTGGGGTTGGAAAGGTCCTGAAAGATCATGGAAGCACAGAGTGGGTTGGGCTGGAAAGGTCCTCAAAGATCATAGAAGCACAGAGTGGGCTGGGTTGGAAAGGTCCTTCAAGACCGCAGAACCGTGGGATGGTTGGGTGGGAAGGGATCACAGATCACCCAGTCCAAACCCCAGGCGGAGCCAGCACTGAGCTCACACTCACACCACGGGGTCGTTCCGCCCCAGCTGGGCTTGAATTCGAGGAGCATTAATTACCCAGTGCCTGGTAGCATTTCACACCTGTCAAACGCTGCCAGAAATCCGCGCAAACGGGTCGGCCCTCTTTTTTTGTTGGGCCATGGTTGTGGGTTTTTGTTGTTATTTTTACTATTTCACTGAAACAGCAGGATGTTGGTGTTGGGAAGGGGACGGATTTGGCCTCAGCTCAGGTTTTGTGCCTGCAACACCCTCCCGTATCGCCCCTTCTTCCACCAGCAGAAGGTTAAGCTGAAGGGCCGCTCACCACTCCCGGCTCTCCGTCATTATTTTTTCAAGTGTGAATTACAGAAAGACAAAGAGAAAAGGGAGAGACGCTCGCAAAGGCACTCACACAAAAGGAGAGAGAAATCCCACACCATTCTGCTCGGAACGTCCCACACACCGCAGCCGAAAGCCACCGCACAGCACAAATCCACGGTGGTATTTGGAAGGGATGAGCCCGCCCCTGTAAGCCCCTTCATCCCGCTCCGCTGAGTTTGCCAGGAGGATTAACCCAGTCTTGTTCTCAATCCCAGTTTATGAGTTCCCTGCTGGTGGGGAAGATCCTGCGTGTTTAAACAACAGCCTAATTAATCCCTATTTTATTACTTTCTCTTGTCAAGTGGCTAAATGGGAGCTGTCAGCCGGCAGCCACCGCCGCTCACATTTGTTTAGATCCCAAATTACTTCATCAGAACCATCTGCTCCGCACGCAGGGCACTTGGTGGTTGTTTGTTTCTCTCTCTGGACACGGCGTGAGGCACAAACAGCGTCTGGGAGAGGGGGGGACCGTCCCGGAGGGGTCTGCAGAGGAAATCCTGAACAAGGAAAATCCAGGCACTGAGCAACCATGAAAAGGAAAAAAGAACCCCAAAATCACGTTTCTTGCTGGGATGTGTGGGTGCAGCTCCATGCGTCCCCCTCCTTCCTCCCTTGGCTTCCTGAGCCCCTTAAATTGGGTGTTTTCTCTCTGAAAAAGAGCAGGGGGGACTCACTGCAGTGTCCCAGCACTGAAAGGTGTTTACAAAGGGGATGGAGTCTCGAGGAGACAGGGGGCAATGGCTACAAGCTGCTCATCCCATGCTTATAACCCTAACTCTAACCCCATGGTTCTGTGATCTTTAAGGACCCATCCAACCCAACCCCATCCCATTGTTCTGTGATCTTTAAGGACCCATCCAACCCAACCCCATCCCATTGTTCGGTGATCTTTAAGGTATGTTCCAACCCAACCCCATCCCATTGTTCTGTGATCTTTAAGGTATGTTCCAACCCAACCCCATCCCGTTGTTCTGTGATCTTTAAGGACCCATCCAACCCAACCCCATCCTGTTGTTCTGTGATCTTCAAGGACCCATCCAACCCAATCCCATCCCGTTGTTCTATGACCTTTAAGGACCCCTCCAACCCAATCCCATCCCATATGATCTTTAAGAACCCATCCAACCCAATCCCATCCCACAGTTCTATGACCTTTAAGGACCTTTCCAACCCAGCTTCATCTTAAGACAAGAAATCAATGTCTGACCCTGGGAACAACCAACCCCTGGCACAACCTCCCAGGGAAAGGGCAGAATCCCCATCACTGGAGGACTTCAAGGTGCAATTGGAAAGGGAAAAAAAAACCCATCCAATCCTCCACCACCGATTTACTGTCTGTCTGTCTGTCATGGTAATGCTCCTTATTGTGCTATGGGAAAGAAAAAGTGAAATTATATGCCGTTTCCCTGGCAAATCCTATTGGTGGGGGGAAAAATCCCACTCTGAAAGGGCCAGACGGGGGAATCCATCAGGCTGTCGGTGCGACACGCGTTAATTACTGACGGTGCTTTTTTTGCAAGAAGTTTGCCTTTGTGTGACATCTCCAGCCCAATCTGTTCCCCACTTCTTCCCTCCCCTGAGCTTCTGACCCCTGGTTTTGTTTTGCAGGCTCTTCCAGACCAAGTGCAGCAGCTGCCTGAAGGCCATCGCTCCCTCCGAGCTCATCATGAGGGTGCTGGAGAACGTCTACCACGTCCACTGCTTCTATTGCTGTGAGTGCGAGCGGCGTCTGCAGCGGGGAGATGAGTTTGTGCTCAAGGAGGGGCAGCTGCTGTGCCGCAGCGACTACGAGAAGGAGAAGGAGATGCTGAGTGCCATCAGCCCCACGCCCACCGAGTCCGGTGAGGAGCTGGAGAGGTGGAAAATGAGGCTGGTGGGGTGGGATTAGTGGATGTGGTGGGATTCGGACAGTCAGCCCACAGCAGGGGTGGGGCTGGGGGGGGCTTTGGGGTCCTTTCTAACCCAACCGTGCTGTGGTTTCATGATGTTTAAGGTCCCATTCAACACAACCCATTCCATAGTTCAATTATCTTTAAGGACCTTTCCAACCCAACGCGTTCTATGATTCTATGGTGTTTGAGGACCCTTCCAACCCAACCCAATCCAACCCAACCATTCCATCATTCCATGATCTTTGAGGTCCCATCCAATCCAACCGATTCCATGGTTCAATTACTTTTAAAGACCCTTCCAACCCTAACCATTCCATCATTCTGTGGTCTTTGAGAACCCTTCCAACTCAACCCAATCATTCCACCATTCTATGATCTTCAAGGTCCCATCCAACCCAACCATTCCATGGTTCTGTGACCTGCAAGGACCCTTCCATCCCACCATCCAACCACTCCATGGCTCTGTGACCATTCCACTTTGGCCATCAGCACCACCTTGCTGCCCACATCCCACTGAGCCACAGCTCAGCCCATGAGCTCCACTGCCTCCATTCCGCTCTTCTGGTCTAAACCGCACACCAAGAGGAGCAAAACTCAGCATTCCTTTGCACTTTTGCCCCAAAATTCACCTCTCCCCATCTTCCCCTGCAGTGAAAAGCGAGGATGAGGATGGCAGCCACTCTCATGGCAAAGGCAGCGAGGACAGCAAAGACCACAAACGCTCCAAGCGCCCGCGCACCATCCTCACCACGCAGCAGAGGAGAGCGTTCAAGGCTTCTTTTGAGGTCTCCTCCAAACCCTGCAGGAAGGTAAAACAGGGCAATCCAGTGGGCACGGAGCCCGTTGGGGCCTCATTAATTTCTGACTCAGCTCTCCTCTTCGTTTATGCTGATAGGTGAGGGAGACCCTGGCGGCAGAGACGGGGCTGACGGTGCGGGTGGTGCAGGTGTGGTTCCAGAACCAAAGAGCAAAGGTGGGTGAGGGGAAGTCCCACACTCGTTCCATTGCAAGAAAACAACAGAGAAAAAAAAGAAAGAAAAAAAAAAAAACTGTTACGCGGGATCAAACCACACATGGTGGGTAGCGTGGATGTACTGGAAGCAAAAGCTTGGAGAGGAACACAGGAAATGCAGAGGTGTTTGCAGAGCTGAAATGTTTTCCTTTTTGTTGCCTTTTTCTAATGGTTCTTTTTTGCGTTTTCCCCTCTCCGTGTGTGATGAGGAAGAGGAGAAGGATTTCCCACTTCTTCCCACAGGGAGAACCCTTCTGGTATTGCAGAATGCAAAGGGTGAGGGCAGAAATAAAGTCCTCAAACGCCTCAAATGGCATTTCCTAACAGAAATGTGCAGCCCTTCCTGGCAGCCCCACTGCTCACACCTTGAATCGGATGAGGAAGAGGGGTGTGAGGGGGGATATATCACAGCAATGCTCACTGCCTATGAAAAGTGGGAGGCACCCGCACCCCTCCTGCCTCAGAACCTCACATCTGGGCTCTCCTTCTTCCTGCAGATGAAGAAGATCGCTCGCAGGCAGCAGCAGCAGCAGCAGCAGCAGCAGGAGCAGGAGCAGATGGGCAATCCCCGCTTGGGGTCTGGGAGGGGGACGGGGCGCAGCAGCAGGCAGAGCAACGACGACAGCGAAGGTGAGGAGCACTGAGCACTGATGTGGGGGGGCTGCATAGGGGCTATCGAGGCCAAAAGCCTGAAAATCAGCAAAAATCTGCAATTCTAGGATTCCAGGATTCCACAATATTCCATGGTTCTAGGATTCAAGGATTCAGTGGTTCTATGGCTTTCTAGGATTTTGCTATTGTAGGATTCTGGAGTTCCAGGATTCTAGGATACAATGGTACTCTATGATTCTAGGATTCATGAAAATCTAGGATTCTGTCATTCTGTGATGTCCGGATTCTATGCTTCTATCATATTCTGTAACTTCAGGATTCTGTGATTCCAGGATTCCGGAATTCGATGACTCTAGGATTCTAGGATTCCACGATTCTATGGTTGCAGGATTCCATGATTCGATAATTTTCTGATATCCTATGACTCTAGAATTGTGTGATTTTAAGATTCTGTGATGATTCCAGGATTCTATGATGCTCTATGACTCCATGATAGTCCGTGACACTTAGGGTTCTGTGATTCTAGGATTCCATGATTCTAGGATCATATATGATTCAATGATATTCGATGACTCTAAAATTCTGTGATTTTAGGATTCCTGAATTCTGTGATTTTAGGATTCAGGAATTTGATGATAGGATTCTAACACCCTCATCCCATCGCTCTGCCCACCACACACTCTGAGCCCCTTCTCCCCCTCTGTCCCATGCTTATGTCTTTAGATGGTGCAAGCGTTCACGGCCTGGATGGGCTGATGGTCCCATACCCCCGGCTCCCCCAGCAGCAGCTGCTGCCCCTGGACCAGAATGGCTACAGCACGGACCTCTACAGGCAGGGCCTCACCCCACCACAGCTGCCTGGAGACCACCTGCACCCCTACGGTAGGAGAGCAATGGGGCCCTTCCCACCAAAGCCATCCAACCCACCAAAGCCATCGTTGGGTTCCATCCAAAAACAAAAAACAGGGTTTGGGTTTGGGTCCCAGGGGATGGACACAGCCTCCAGGCTGAGCTCTGCTAAAGGCTGGGGTCCCATGAAAGGTGTGTTGGGGTGAGGGCCATGAAATCCATCCTTGGGTTCCACCCAAATGGCCAACAGGAGTTGGATTTGGGGCTCCTACTCATATTGGGTGGCTCCTACTCATGATGGGTGACTCCAGGCCCCACTGCAGTGACAGGCCAGCTCACTGTGCTCGTGCCACATTGACCCCCATTCTCCTTTCTTTCCTCTTCCAGATTCAGAAGGAGTTTTCCATGACATGGACAGCGACGGCATCAGCCACCTGGGGGACTGCCTGCTGTCGACGGCCGAAGCCAACCTCCTGCAAGCCCGCGTGGGCAACCCCATTGACCGACTGTACTCCATGCAGAGCTCCTACTTCACCTCCTGACCTTCAAACAGCTCTCCACCAGTACCCACCAGTATCTTGGACGGGTGCTGCTCTGGGTTCAGACATGAGACATTCCTTGAGTGCTGCACAACGGAGGAGGCAGCGGATCCAGCCACACTGAAGCACTATTCTGCAACCCGAAGGACTTGGGGTTGCCTCTCTCCTTACTTTCTAGCCTAAATGGACGGTATGATGTTGTTTAGCTGTTCCTTTAGCAGTTTGTCCAGTGTTGAAGCTGTTTGAGCATGACCTCTTTCCAACACAGACTGGCCAAGCCAATCAGAGTGGCCCCAAGCTCTTGTTTATTCAAGTCCTGCTGCGCTGGTTTGTCTCATTCCTCAGCCCAGATGCTTCATGGGGCAAGGTTAATTTTCAACAAGGTTCTGAGGCCTCTCCAAGGGATGCCTCTCTGCTCCATGCCCTCTTCATGGCCATCACTCGGTCTGAGCAGCGCAGTTTTCATTTGACATTTCAGAAAGGTGCCGTCGCCTGGCTTCTGAATGAAACAGCTGGGATCGGTGTCTGCCTCCAGAAATGAGAGCATTTCTGCTCTGTCGTGTTCGAGGATGCCAAGAGGAATGTGGCAAAACCACAGCGAGTTCCCTATTGCTGTTACATCTTTCATTCTCCAAAGGGGCAGTTTATGGACAAAACACAAAATCACAGCTGCCAGCCATGCTCCTTTCTGCTTTTTTTTTCTTTTTTTTCCATTTTAAAACAGCAAAGTGAAGAGGATTTCCTCTAAAAATATTCCCGATGGAAAGCCTGGTCTCTATAGCTATGTTCACAGCAGGTTTTTTGGCAACTCTGCCCATGGCAGGTGGGTTGGAACAAGATGACTTTTGAGGTTCTGTCCAACCCAAATCATTCCATTGTTCTGTGATCTTTAAGGTCCACTCCAACCCAACCCATTCCATGGCTCTGTGATCTTTAAGGACCCTTCCAACCCAACCATCCCATGGTTCCATGATCTTAGAGGTCCCTTCTCACCCAATCATTCCACTGTTCTATGGTTTGATGATTTCCCACCCTGACTCCTCTTCCAGGCATCCCAGCACCTCGCTTCCCTCCAATATGTGATGGGAAAAAATAAACTGGATGCCATTACCCCCCGATATCTCATTTGAGCTTCGAGGGCAACCCAGCAGTGATGCCAGGACTCAGCCAAGAGCAAAGCTTATCTCTGCTGTGGGTTGGGAGCAGGGATCCATTTTCTCCCCCTCCATCACAACGCCCTTCTCAGTGAGGCAGAGAGAAGCCAATGGGCACCGATGCAAACACCCCCCAAAAAAACACAAAACAAGCAAGAAAAAGAGAACAGAGATTGGAAGTTTGAATTATTACCAAACAGAAATTCTTTATTCTCCCAGCCAGGGCCCAAGTGTGGGATTTGGTTCTTTACAGCTGTGAAGGACACAGAGCCAATATTGCTGGAAAGGTCAGGTTTTCCCAGAATTGTGCCAGACGAAGGAAGGAGGTCCTCCAGAACTGATTTCCCCACATCTGTTTGGAGAGAGGGACTGATGAGCAGATGACTCCAACAGGAAATCATGACTTATTTTTTAAATCTTGACCTCCAGAGTTGTGAGTTGAAGTGCAGTTGAGAACCCGGCTGATGTTTCCGTATGTGGTGTTTTACTTCTAAGCCTCCCCCGAGGCTTTTGTCAGTCTGATTGTAAAAGTGTGTATTCCCTCAAATGATTAAAAAAATAAAAATAAAATTGGCTCATGGTTGTTGTCTGTGGTCACGGAGGAGCTCTGTAAGCCCAGTGCTGGGAATGAAAGGAGATGCAATCTTGCTGCATTTTGCTTCTCATCAGAAATTTTTTTGCCTTCCCAAGACTGTTGGAGGGAACAGACAGAAAGAAATCTGGGTAACACAACCACAGCCTTCACAGAACTCACAAAGCTGTGTGAACGTGACAGCCACTGACGGGCACTCACTTCCCTTTGCATTCGCAGTGCCACGCTCTGCAGCTGAACCCTTTACCATCACTCTGATGTCTCTTTCTAAGAGGGAAGGGGGAACCTCTTGCAGAAACAGCAGTTTTGGGTCTAATTTTGCCCACGTAGCCACTGGGTAGGGTGCTTTGCTACAGTCGATTCACTTCCACCTTAGTCATGTAGAGACAGCTCAGTGGGTTGTGAGGGGTCCCAATGGAAGCACCAGCAGCACAGCCAGGTATCGGGGCTCGGTGATTGCTCCCAGCTGTGTTTTGCAGCTGGAAATGCTTTCTTGCAGCAATCAGAGACAGCAAGCACTGCTTCTGAGGCAGGCGAAGCTTTGTGATTGGGATCTGACTCCTCTGCAAAGCACCGATGGACGGCGGGGAGATCAGTGCCGTGGCAGTGATGAGGAATGTGCACTTAGGGGGAGGAAATCACTCCAGAGAAAGGCTGAGCTCACCCTGCTGCAGAACAGAGAGCAGGAGGGCAGCAGGCTGGACGACACCCACGCTTTCTGGCTTTGCCTCAGTGCTTTTGAGAGGAGCAAACCTTGCTCTCAGCACACAGGGCTCACAACAGCATGCTGGTAATTCCCCCTGCCCAGAGAGGAGGAGAAAGGCGAAGAAAAGCAAAACAACAGAGCAGCCACGGAGTGGAAAACCCTTCATCTGCCCACCCTGCTCCCCTCGCAGCAGCTCAAAGCCCAGCGGGCCCACAGCCAAGGAAAGCAAACGGTGTGTGCGAATGGAATGCGGCTCCACACGGCTCTCTGCCCTCTCCTGCTGCCCACCAAAGACCCGGGGCTGCTGGCAGCACTAAATCTCCCCCGTCGACGGCCAACACCAAAGGGACGGCGCTGATTTATGGCTCCTTTCAGTAAGAGAAGCAGAGTGTAAAACGAGAATATTTTCTGGGTGAAAAATTAAAGAGGCGTTCGGGGGAGTTCCTCATTCCGGGGCGGTGTGTGATTCACCTCCAGAGTTCAGCTTGGAAAGAAAAGTGACATCAACATCAGCCAAAGCCACGGGAGGGAAACAAAAAAACCCGGTGCTCAACTTTGTGTTCCGAGCTCCAAAAAGAAAAGGGGAAAAATGAAGCAGGGAATCATCGCGGTGATCCTCGGGGGTCTGTTAGATAAACAGCTCAGAACACTTTAATTAATTACTCCTTGTTGCTCTCCAGCTGGGTGGGTGTTCTTTGTTTGGGGGGGACATGTATGGAAGCATGGGATAGCAAAGGGTTTGCTTGCAGACAGTGGGGAAGGAAAAGCAGAACTGACTCTTAGCTTGCTTAACCCATGAACAATCAGAGCTGAGAACAACTAAAAGTGGGGGAAATAAAACACAGAATGGGGCGATGGCCACAGAGTGAGGATGGGAGCAAAGAATCAGAACTGCAGTGACACAGAGATCTGCACATCCCATGTTTTCAGATGGCAGTTTCTGCTGGGAAAAAAACAGTGGAGCAACCGATGCCTTCTTTAGGAAATGCTCTTTAGGTGCTGCTCTTTAGGAAGTGACTGACTACATTTTCCAAAGGTAGAAACACAGAAGTGGTGGATGGGTTTGGAAATAACAGCTTTTTCCACTTTTTTCAGTGGCAGTTTCTCACCACCTGTTCGTGGCTTTGCTGCTGTGCCCTCCTCTTCCATTTATCACAGCCAAAATGCAGAGGGAAAAGAGCAGCAGAACTCTGTCTCCACAATTCCCAGGTTCAGAATCGGTCGGATCCTGCTGCCCCACGCGAGGCACCCTGGCAGCTCAGTGGTTAATGTGTTGATGAAGAAATAATGGAGCAGCTCCAGCTCTGGAAGAGACAGGACCGGGCTTCAGAGGGGGCCCACAGCACCTCAACCATAATGAAAAATGGCTTTGCTGCCACCGTGCTGACATTTCAATGCGGTGTCAACAACATGCAAAGCACCTCCGCTCCCATACAGCCCTTAATAAAGCTGTTCGGGCTGCAGACATTGCCAACTGTGCTGCTCAGGATAAATGCATTGCCAAAGAATCACTCAAAATAAGTTTTTCCTCCAATAGCACTCCCCAAAATTCCCTTTGGAGCAAAGCTACTGTCTCCTTTTCCTCCTGACTTGGAAAGCAGAACGTGCTTTAGCTTCACATTTCAAACACAGCATTCAGTGAAAGGGAAAATGTTTTCTGTGAGTGTGGATGTTGTCATCCACTCCATCTCAAATCCCACTCGTGTTGAAGTGTGTTGAGACGATTCGGGCTATGCTGGAAGCAGGAACAGACTCACTTCCATCTGCTGTACCTCTCCCCAAAGGAGTTAAACTCTGCCCAGCTGAAGGACGCTGAGTGATGGCTGCCAACCCCGCTTGGCCTCACACCGAGGTGGAACGCGGATCTGTGCGACCTGGGGGTGGTAGGGCACTGGGAATGGGTCCGAGCCAAGTTCCTGCTCCACGCCTCACCTTTCCTTTCAGGTACAACAACTCACGGCCTCAAGCTGCGCCAGGAGAGGCTCAGTTTGGACGTCAGGAAAAATTTATCTTCCAAAAGAGCGGTCAGATGCTGGAATGGGAGCGGCGGGAGTCGAGAAACAGTAGTTTGCAGAGAGCAGCACAACGGAGGAGAGCGGTTCTCTCATCGCAGAATCTCTTCATCCACTCCTTGTAAAACATCCTTACAGTGTTGTGGTTTATTTCCATTCATTACAGCCCAAAAATTAGCTTTCCTGGAGGGCTCTGTGTCCCCCCAATGCGAGGACGCAGGCAGCAGCCCCCCACCCTCCCACAAATAGATCTTCACTGCGCTGCTGATGGCTCAGAGTTTGAGGAGCTCTGAAGTTTGCAGTCGTTCTGCTGCTGGGAAGACTCCCCCTGCTGTTCTAAAACAGCACACAGCCCACGGTGCTCCCAAACTGGGCAAGCTGGGAACTCCATGCTTGAGGAAACATCGCTGGAGTCAGTTCAGCTCCAAAAGCAGCTTCCATCACCAGTGGAAAAAGCCAGAGCTGGCTTTCAGTCTCCAGCAGCGTGTTAGCTGGTTACTTTTTATTGAGACAAAGGGAAAATGCTGTCCTTAGAGACAAAAGGAATTCCTCAGTACAAACTGCAGAAAAAAAAGGTGGTTTTTGCTTCCTACCCAAGTGACCCACGGGTTTTCAGGAGGAGGAGCAGCGACCCAACCAAACACTGTGATGAGAATGCAGAGTATCAAGAGTTTTCCTTTGCTCCTGACCATGAGTTTTAATTCCGGGGATCCCCTGCGAAGAAAACAACACAAATAAAAGAAATAAAAACATGCAGAAGTTTTTGATATCAATGAGATCAGCTTCAATACCTCTTCCTGTTATGCTTCCTATTTTTTCTGGGAAGAGCACAGAATCACAGAATCCTACAACAAATAAGGTTGGACGAAACCTTAAAGGTCACAGAATGTGATTGGGTCGGATTGGAAGGGACCCCAAAAACATACAACCATGGAATGGTTGGTTTGGAAGGATCCTTAAAGATCAAAGAATGATGGAATCACAGCACAGTTGGGCTGGAAGAACCCGAAAGCCCCCCCAGCCCCATCCCTGCTGTGGGCTGTGTGCCCCCCACCAGCTCAGGGCCCCATCTACAGCCTCATGCACCTCCAGGGATGGGGCACCACAGCTCTAGGCCTCACCACCCCCTGGATAAAGAATTTCCTCCTCACATCCACCCTAAATCTCCCCTTTTTGAGTTTAAAGCCATTCTCCCTCATCCTACCTCTCTCTACTCACACAAAAAAGTTGCCCTCCTCATGTTTCTAAGCTCCCTTCGAGCTTTAACATTAAATTATTTAACAGTAGCTTTAAAATTACCCCTTGTTTCAGGATTCCCTTCCCATTTATAAACCAGCTCTTCAATTTACAAAGAACCCCCAGCGGAAAAAAAACGCATCTCTCAGCAAATCCTGGGCTGGATTTTTTTGCACCTCTCACCTCACGCCGGGAGCTTCACCCTCTCGGCGCAGCGCAGGAAGGCGTTGACGTGTTCGCTGCAGTTCAGCACCGACTCCTGGTTCTCCTTCAGGCACTGTTCAAAGGCCACGAAGGGCTCAGCGCAGTCCTCCCGGATCCGTTGCACAATGGGGCTGTGGGGCAGCACAGGACCCTCAGAGCCACGCAGGACCCATTTGCCCACCTTAAAGCCCTATTTCCCCTGCACGGAGCTCCACAGGCCACCATTCTTCCCCCCTCAGAACCCCATTTCCCCACTCACAGCCCTACAGACCACATTCTTGACCCTACAGAGCTACATAGGCTGCCATTCTTCCCTCCTCAGAGCCTTACAGACCACACACAGAGCCCCATAGGCTGCCATTCTCTCCCCCTCAGAGCCTCATTTCCCCACCAGAACCCTACAGACCACATTCTTGATCCCACAGTGCCCCATAGGCCACCATTCTCCCCCTCTCAGAACCCCATCTCCCTACTCAGAGCCCTACAGACCACATTCTTGACCCCACAGAGCCCCATTTCGCCTCTCAGAGCCCCACAGACCCCATTCTCGACCCCACAGACCCCATTACCCCCTTTATAAACTTTTTTTCCCCTACAGAACCCCAGCTCCCCATCCCAGAGCCCCGAAGGGCCCGGTTCCCTCCCTTAGAGCCCCATTTTCCCCCTCACAGAGCCCCATTCCCCCCCACAGAGCCCCGTGTTCCCCCACACAGAGCCTCATTCCTCCCCCACAGAGTCCC